AAATTATCCTCTGGGAGAGAGAAGGTAATCTTTAAGCATGTCTTTTAGTTTTAAAACTAAAACTAACTTTAGCAAATCAAGTTTTTATTACCATTATTATTATTATTCTCAGAGTTTCATGAGTTTTTAAAACAGATTTCAATTAGGGATTCCATTGTGAAGTATTTTAACCTAAAATGTAATTTAGGAATTCAAAATTTCTGATAATATAAAGAGGTTGGGAGAACTGAACAGAAAAAATAAAATCGAAAGATGAAAAAATAAATAGAACATGTTGAAGGATTTGAGTGTAGCAAGTTCTAGGGAGCAGAGAAGTCCTGAGCGCCAATCACAGGCAAAGAAATGAACAGCCAACAGCCAGCAACTAAATGGAGATCTCTGAACCGTCGATGTTCCAACTGCCAGCTCTGGGGCAGGTTGTCAACTAGGGTGCACGGCACATTCTTTCAATTTAAAGGTTTAATTTCAGTCAATTATAAGGATATTAAAATATTGATTATCCTTGGAAAACTGAGAACTTTCACTTGGTCATTAAGATACACATCCATTTATTATTTAGGAATCAATGGAAGCTGAAATTAGGGCATACGTATTAAAGCTTTTGGGATGAAAAGTTCTTGCTCACATCCAGATGCATCTGCAGTATTCCCAATGGTTAGAAATTCAAACCTGTAACACTTTCTTAACGTAGTCAAAGGGTGAATAACATTCTGAATGACAAAATATAAGCTAGCTTCAAACATTTTATTCATCATAAAACTACATGTGGATGTTATTTGCAAAAATTCCACAATGTTTCTGATAGTTTAATGGAAGTCAGTTTTTGTGATTCTAAAATGCAAATCAGCAAAGTAAGAGCAAATATATTTTGAATAATCATCTGTGTCATTTTGATAAAATTATGTTACTGGCATGAATACGTTTTACTTTTTTAAATAAATAGTGTGCTGCTCAACTTTCAGTATCTTTTGTTTGTTTTAGCTATCTACCCATCTGTCTATTTATTCATCTAACTACCTATTATAAGATTTTAAAGGAGAAGGAAGCATAGGAAGAATCTATGTAATATATAAACAGCACAAAAATAAAATCAACTGGAAGAAACTAAGTATACTCTTTAAGATTATTTTTAATCACCCAAAAAGAAACTAAAATAACCTCTTTCTTCCAGAAGACTTATTAAAATAAGATCCTTAAAGTTATCTTCAGCTCCGGTGCAGTACCTCACACTTTCAATTAGCTGCTGGATTCTTTTCAGTATTTTACTAAAATAATGGGGAATACCAGTGCCATGTTCTTGGAATGACTAAGCTGATGGTAACAAAAAGACACAACTATCACAAACAGAAGAAGTGTTAAAAAGAAGTTAACTCTACCAAAAAACAGAAAGCATAACATTTAAAATGATAAAAAAAATTTTAAAATGTCTGAGTCATTCCCAAAGAAAACCCATCACCGACAAAGACTGTACCATTAAAAAAGATTATTTCTAATTGATTTTCATTTATAAATTTAAAATTTTCAATTTAGAATAAAACATTATTTGTATAAAGTAAAATCGTTTAATTATGCAAAAATCCAAATAAATTAATATAAAAATATAACACACATTACTGATTTTTAAATGCAACAAGATATAAGTACAAATTATAGTAAGAGAAACCAGTAAACAGATTTCTTTCCTTTTAGCTCATGCTTTCTTCCTTCTAGAGGACATTTATTTACTTTTTTAAAGAAGTTTTTGAAAGTATTAAAAAGTAGGATGTAATATTTGACATGTACATGAGATTAATTATTTGGGTATGGCTGTCAACATGTTATATAACTAGAAAAAGTTGTTTTTCAACCGTGTGTATTGAAGTAAATGTGGCATTAGCTGTCATGGTGCTTGTTAAATATTAGCAGAATATATTAACCGAGAGGGTAGCTACATGCATCTATAATTTTTTTTATTAATTTCTGAACAAAATGCTTATCATAAGTGTAAAACATTGGTTATAAGGGCAAGCTCTGAAGGAATTCATTTTTGTTTTATTATTTTTAATGTTGCCTTCAGTATTTATAACAGCAGAACATTTAAAACAAACTTACTAAATATGAGAGTAACAGTACTTACTTACCTCTCTGTAAAAGTCAATAGACAATATGTTTTAAGTACTAAGTAAAGGAGAGTTAGTTGTCTTTCATTCAATGCATATGGATGGCCCTTTTAATATTCTCCTTCTTGATTTTTACAAATAAACTCAGGTTCTAGCTTAGTATTTATTGATAAAGTGGTATCTTGTTAAAATCATAAATTAAATTGGCTATGTAAGCAAATCCTCCAATTTGAAAATAAAGAAGTATAGAAAAGACAAATACTTTGTCCATAGTAATACCTAAGTTTAAATTTCAATCTGCCATGCAGATTAATACATTTTTAGTAAGTTTCACTTTCTTATAGGTAAGAAAAAATAACATTTTTGAGATTGCACATTTAGTTAGCTAACGATGAAGTTTTTACTATCTATAATAAATAGTGGGAATACAATCAGTTTTAGTCTTTGTCTCTGAATTGACATAGGTAAACAGAAAAACATAAATACATTCATAAATAAAAACTGACAGGAAAGATAGATTATAAATGATGGAAAAGAACAAAGAGATAGATATGAGTTACAAAGAAAAATAGGTACTAGAGACATAGGAAAGATCAATAGCCAGAGAGATGTAACATCTATAACAGTTGCATTGTGTCTCATGAAGGCAGGAGTCGAGTCATATTTATTTTTCACATTCCTAAAAAATTCTAAAGTTTTCTTACATGCTCAAAGCACTTAATAGATATTAAATGAATAAATAGATGAAATCAATGGATCAAGTAAAAGAATACCATTGCTTTTAAAATTATGTTTTAACATGAAACCCATTTTTTTTTTCCTTCTGCGTAATTATTAATTATTTAATTACGTAAGTCTAAGGGCCGGGGATATAGCTAAGTGGCACAGCGCCTGCCTGGTGAGTACAAGGTCCTGAGTTCAATTTCCAGGAATTAATATATATACACACACACGTATGATGTGAATCTAGTTTCTAGAACCATAATAATTTTCTGTATTGATTGATAAGGATGCATGGCAATGATTTGCTTTACAGCAGATATTTCTCTTGGTTTTCTCATTCTTAGCAATTTTGTCATATGTAATAGTAATTTAAATATAGGCCAACTTTGAGCTTCTGAGAATGATAGCCACCTTCTTAAGACATTATTTTTGTTATCAAAATTGGATAGACACCTTTTTTAGTATAACTCACATTTTCAGACATAATACATATATGATAACTTTTTTCTCTATAGGAGAGAATATATCAAATACATTCCCATCACATACGCTGTATAGTTAGTGAAAAGAATCAGATTTCATGTCAACAGTAAATATTTTGATTTTCAGTTCTGGAATTTTTATGTTTTATTAACAAAATTCCTTATAAAGTTATGACAACACATGCACACCCTTTACTTACTATGTTCAGTTCTATGAACAGTAGCCAGTGAACCGTTAATCACTTTACATATCACACAGATAGTTAGATCTCATTATATATATTCACATATCAAGATCCAAGAACCTAAATGTTTCTAAAAAGTTTTATATCTATCTAAAATATTATATATAATGTCACAGAGCCACAATCCATGATGACCATTTATATAATTTCAAGTAAACATTAAAATTTATCTGGACAGTGACTATCAGATAATCATTCAAACTGCCTCTGTTGAAAATAAGTTTTAAAATTGTTGCAGAGAAAGTAGCTATAGTACAATATAAGGAGAAAAGCATCAGTATAGCACTTTTGCTTTGAAAACAAGCCATTTTGGAAGGCCAATCTTAAATCCAGAAAAATTATATTGAGTACTTAAGTGTTAATATATACATAATTTGTACACTGCAGTGAATATGCACAAATAAGTATATGTAAATATATCTGTGGTTGAATGTATATATTGAAATTTTGATATAATTAGAAAAATTAATGATAGTCTATGTATATCTGACAAGATAAATGAATTCAAAAATTTATGGAATCATCAATCAATAAGTTATTTAGAATCTATATTCACATGGTTTAAATGCAGTTTATTATTTAATATTATTGAAATAATAAATATTAAATATATGTTAAAATTATTAAGATTTTGAAGACTAACATTTTATCAGCTAATCTAATGATTTGTAATTCTAAAATTTGATTTCTACAGTTGTACTTTTCACTTATACAATAGAATATAAAATATCTTCTTCATAGTTAGAAGACATATATGAGTATCAGTTTTCTTTGAATGAAGCATTAGCCAGTATTTCACCATATCTAAAAAAGGACATTGAAATTACTAGAAAAATTAATAAAAATATGTATTAAATAATTTGGAAATAGATTTTTTAAAAATATACATATTTATTAAGTCAGTGTTTACAATGATGATATTAACTGATATCTACGAAGATTTGTAGAAGTCAACTGGATATATATTAGCCATTATTTGACTTGTGAAAAATTATTTTTAAGCTAAAATACAGATAAAAATCAATCAACACTGGCAAGAGAGAAAATTCAAATTGTTTCATTTTGTCCAAAATTGTTACATATATTAATTTTAATATTTAAATTTAGTACATCGCAATTCACAGGTATTTCTAGTATATTCCATAGTTCACCTCTTAGTGAACCCTAAATCAGGAGGGAAAGGAAATACCTATGAAATAAGAACAGTCTAGTGTTAGGCCATGTTCACATTTTTAAAGAAAATAAAGTCTGATATTCATGTCATTCCTTGTTCAGTTGTGACTGTGATACTGAACAGTTGCTTTTTGTCTGGGGTAATTGTGGGATTTGCTGTTTCTCTGATATATTATCAATGGTCTGTTCCACCGTGATAAACTGCAGGGCTAGTACTAATAGGCTTATAATGATTGCTTAAGCTTTACACTTTGTAAGCATTGGAAGACTTCACTCACCTTGTTCAAGCGGTTGGCTTTTAGCTGAAGTAGTTTTCATCTTGAGTGCCTCCCTAACAGACATGTCACAGCAGGAGCCTTTGTTAGTGTCTTGGTCACTGTCAGCCTGATCACTGTCCCCGTGCCCACTGTCTCTCAGGCTGGCTCTTTCTGGGTCCTTAAACGTGGAATTACTGAAATACACATAAAAAAAAAAAAAGAAGAAGAAGAAGAAGAGAAAGTGTTGTCTCTACTAGTTTCAATCTGAAGTGTAGTCTCTTGCAAAACAATTTTGACATGAATGCAAATGGAGAAGCTGAGAAAGTTATTTAATAGGCCTTACCTTTGAACAAACTGCTGCCTGCTGCCCATGTAATTGGGCTCTGCGGGAAAATTGTCTGTCTGTGAAAGAGAAGGAAAAAAATACGTATAGTTGTACACTGGACAAATCTCCTGCAGAGCAACAAGATTTCCTAGTGGAAAAATGATTAATAATTCAAAAATTCCCTTAATCTTCAGATTTGTACATTTTAATTAAATTGGAAATTGCTGACATGTAATTATGTACTCAGAACAATTAAATGATTCCGGTCCACAAATTACCTGTTAAAGTAAACAATGAGCCTGTCCAAAACTGGCATTCTCTGTTAGTACCAGGATATCTAATACTGTCTGCGTGGCTTCATTAATTTGTATATTGATTGAATATTTTTGGAAGGGGCGGGAAAAATGATCTAATTTCTCCATATTAAAAGTGTGAATTATTTAATAATACTCCTTTTTAAAATATGATTACATCATCTGCTGGGATTCGATGCCCTTTTGATGTAATATCGTTTCAAAGCACCCACGCCTCAAGTAAAAAATACAAGGCTTCTTCGGCAAATTTTGCCAGCAACAGATTCAAGCCTGTCACATATGGTTGAATTCATCTCTGATTCACTTTCAGCTGTACTCCAGCTATGGAAATTACATTTAAAAAATCCAGTGGAAGCAGGTATCACTTTCTGTTTCTTAAAAACAAAATAAAAGAAAAACCAGGAAAAAAAAGTTACTTAAATAACCAAGCGTAAAAACACTGGAAATCAGGCTTGTTTTACTGCTTCCAAACTGACATGGAGATCTGCCAAAAAGAACTGAATTCTCCTTGTGTGGTGGAACAGAGTCTTTTGGGAGAAAGAGACTAGATCTTTCATGGATCTCCCTATACTGTACATTCATCCACGTTACTTCTTCGTGCAGCTGACTCAGTGACAAAGCTTCTCCTGTTCCCTGTATCACTTCATATCTCACTGTTAAGCTCCGAAGCAGCGGTGGTTGGGACAAGACCCTCGAGCACACAAGTATCAGTGACATGAGGGGCATGCAATTCACGGTGCAGAGGGCCCAAGGTAAGGCTTAAGGCAGTGCAAGTATGTGTTTTCATTTAACAAGGCCAATTTAAAATGAGAACATTCTTATTTCAAGAGAATAATGTTGGTCTGTGAACTATTAGTTGAAAAAGTTATATGAAGAAACATTTCTTAAAGTATTATTTAAATTTTATTTTCTGGTAGAAGTTTGGGGACAGAAAAACTAACATAAATTTCTTACTCTGTCTTTTCTTTCTTTCTAGTTTAAATGACCTTAACCAAACAAACTACATGCAAAATGAAGACGGACAGATGGATTCATTTCTGTCTCTTAACCATCTTTTTTAACCAGTAGCTGTAGAAGAAAGTTTTCATTAACCTATTGTACCTGTTTCCGGATTCAATGAACCATCTTAATTTTTTCCTTTTATGATGACAAACTACTATTTTTTAATAATAAATAGGCCTTCTAGTAAAATCAATAGTGGTAATCTACATACTAGCAAAAATATAGCTCAATACATTTAATGCTAGTTTGTCTTTTGAATTGAACAAAACACACTCACCTTCCTATTGCTGTCAGTTAAAAGTTAAATTTAAGTATCTTAAAACACTTCAGAAACAGAGAATTATGGGTAGTAAGAAGAAAACAAATGGTAAAAACAGGAACTAATTAGGGATTATAAGTAATATAAATAATATTGTGATTTTAATAATTTTTCTTAAGGGAAACCGTATAAAATGAGAATCCTTACTAAGACACTGGGAGATAGTCTGAGGAAACTTGTTTTTCTAACACAGCAGCTATAAGTGTTTGCATATTATTAAAGTTTTATAGTTTTGAGCAAATAAAAGATAAATTAAGAAGTAAAATATTATTCAATGAAGAGCTGGTAAAAATCATTAGTAAATATGTGGGAATTCAAATATATGTATATGTTTCTGTGTGTGTGCATAAGAATGTTTGATGAGATTGCACAGGTGTTGATACAAAGCATTGTTTTGATGAAGAAGTCAAAAAGAATGAAAGAGAAAAAAATGAAAGAAAGGATATGTATAGAGAAAGAAATCCAAAGATAAAATCAAATGGAAAAAAAAATAGAGGAAAGGAGATATACAACAGAGGAATAGTCAGAGTGGAAGAAAGTAAAAACAAATATAGAAAAAAAGCAAAGTTTATTTATTATTATATAATTTCAAAAAGTATAATTTTAAAAGCTTACAGGTTAATTGATATCTGGCTATCAGAATTTACTAATAATATCTTTACTCATCCATTAATATATACAAATAAGAAGGTAAGAGATTGTGTGAATGTACAGTTAGAATAATGAAATAGCTATTTGACCCTTAGCAAACATAAACCTAATTCACTACAAAAACCACCCAGGATAACATCTCCAAGATGCAAGTAGGCTACAAGAGTCTCTGAAAACTAATTCAAAATTATCTGAATATGGAAATAACATCATTTGCATAAAAAGTCAAAATAGAATAAAAATAAGCTGTACGTATTACAATATTATTGTAGAACAAGAATAACTTTTAGATATTTTAAAATACTATATTCTAACAATAGAGACCTAGCACATATGTTTATAAGTTTTAAATTGTAAGTCTTAGCAGAAAGTAAAAAATGTAGGTCCCAAGAGAGTAACTAATAGCTTATTCATAATTCCTGAAAACAATTCTTTATTACAAAATAACTCTGCAAATGTGCTTTCCAACACAACTTGTACACAATGATTTTTCACTCTTGTTTTGACATTATATAATATGTTTATCATAAAGATTTATACATTGAATTGAAGGCTAGGTAAACAAATGTTTTCAAGTAGATATTTTAGAACCTTGGTGTGTAGTGACATATTCAATCTATTCAAAAATCATTAAAATGAGATGAAAGTTATCATGTATAAAAAGTTATTGTTATAACCAAAGAGATCTGAACTAAAACAAAAATGTGCACTAATGTTTTGCTGCTGTTATTATTTGTTAAAGATGTTCAAATTTAGTAATTTTTGTATAAGATAAAAAGGAAGCAACTAAACATTTCAATTAAAAATTTGCATCGTAACAGTTCAATTAATTGCTTTTCTACTTTTCTGTACTTGAAATCAGGACTTACATACATATATACAGTTATTCATGAAAGATAGTAAGAGTGTTTATCAACATTAATCAATAGTAAGTTATACGTAAAATATGCCATCTTCTTGACTGCTCATTCTAGGTTTATTCTGAAATACAAATGGTAATTTCAAAAACAAGTATCTCCAAGAAAAATTAAAAGAACTACATAGTAAAACTGATCACCTAGAAAAGCTCCTAATTCATGAAAGCAAATCAATTTAATATACCACTTACATGTAACTTAAGATGACTACCTGAAAGTACATAGCACAAAAAATGAAAAAAATATTTTTAAAACTATTAAAACATTAAAAAATGTTTTAAATTTATCAAATGTTTCACAAAATTCAACAACTCTCAATGCTGACAATTCTCAGCAAATGAAGGAAGAAAAAAATTCTGAAAAGAATATCTCAAACAAATTCTGTATAAAGAACATATCCAAGAAAGAAAAAAAAAAAAAAAAAAAAACAAGTACTCTCATACTTAATTGCAAAAGGGTTCCCTCTTCTTAAGAGGGTCCACCCTTGGCCCAGATTTAACTCAGTGGTGTCTACCTGGCAAGCGTGAGGTTGTTAGTTGGATCCCCAATACCAAAAGAAGAAGTAGAAGAAGAAGAAGAAGAAGAAGAAGAAGAAGAAGAAGAAGAAGAAGAGGAGGAGGAGGAGGAGGAGGAGGAAGAGGAGCAGGAAGAGGAAGGCCCATTATTACTCCTCCTATTCATCATGTACTGAAACCCCTACCAAATAAATAAGGCCAGAAAAATGATCAAAGGATAGCAATTAGAAATGTTCACAGATCATATAATCATATTTCCAAATAATATTCTGTGTAAAATTAGTAAAGAATCAAATAAAACAAAACTTCCTAGAAAAAATAAGTGAATTAGGTACAGTTGCTATAGTTGAGGCCATCACCAAACTCAAATTTCTGATTTCTCGAAGAACTATTAGAAAAAATCATGTCAATGCAATTCATTTTAATTTTAACAAAATTTATATACTCAATGAATAAATACATGTTTAAAAACTTGTGTGAAATTTCTATACTGAACATTATAAAAGTGATTATATAAATCTTAAAATACCTAAATAAATGGAGACCTATCTCATTCGTGTGAATTGGAAGATTCAACATAGCAATGATGTTACTGTTCCCCAATTTATTTATGAATATCATTCCTTTTAAACTACTGGCAGTATTCTCTACAAATATGAATAAGATGATTCGTCTTTTAATTTGCAAGTGCAAATAAGCTAACTTAGCAAAACTGATTTTGAAAAAGAATCAAAATGATTTAAGCTAAAGCTTAAGACTATTACAAAGTCATATTGCCAAAATAATGGGCATACAGATAAGTCAAACAGAAGATTCTATTCAGAAATAAACATACTCAAATGTGGACAACTGACTTTTGACAAAGGTACACCAGTTCTGTTTTCATGTGCACGCACGCAGGCACACACACTTAAATGTGGATGAACAATATTGATATAATGTACAAAATCATAACAGTTTAGAAAGAAAATTAGCAGAAAATCTTTGGGAACTTGTTCTAATCAGTTTGCAAGGATGATACCAAAGCCTTATTCAGTGTGGGAAAAATGACTGAGACCTTTGCAAAACACTATTAAAATATTTAAATATACATTGCAGACTTTGGGAATGCTTAATAGTTTGACAAAATTATGTGAAAATATAGAAAGAATTCTCAAAAGTAAATAGTAAAAAAGAAAAAGATGAACACTGTACCATATAAAATGGGTGGATGGCATATGTAAAAAACTGTTCACTCTATTTGCAATGAGGAAAACCCTAATTTATCATTACAATAAAATATTATACCCATCACATCTAATAATATTATAAAAACTAGCAATAATAAGTGCTGAAAAAATTGTGGAAGATCTAGAATTGTATACATATATTACAGAATAAAAAAACAATACAACAATATTGGAAAACAATTAGCTTGTCATAAAGTTAAACATAAGTGTATTATATGACCTCAAAACTCTACAACTAGTACTTTAGTAAATGAACACTACTCACTGCTGACACACAAAAAACAATTGTGCCTGAACATTTACAAAAGCTTTCTTTGTCAAATCTAGAGTCAGCCTACATCTTTTGACAAGTAAATAGATGATGAACACATGTAAAAGGAAATACTAGTTAACAATAAAAATAAACTATTGAAATAACAATCTGAGTAACTCTCAGAGGTGCTACATTAAGTGAATACAGCCAGTTCCCCCATAAAAATACTATTGTCGTTTCATTTAAAAGTTGTTTTTTTTAAAATTCAGAAGAATTACAACAAAACAGATCCATACAATCTGTATTTAAAGGTATGAAACGGCATGGCTGGAGCGGGCCCAGGAAGGCTTTTAGGGAGACAGAACTGTTAAGTCTCCTGCCTGCTTCAGGAGATGATACATGTCTAAAAATACAGAGAATTATAATACTTCAAATAGGTTCATCTTACTGTTTGCAAATTTTATAAAATGATAGAACCCAAAATATATTTATTTTTGCTCTTACAAAATAAATATGAAAGTACAAATGCATTTTTTGAATATTGTCAGTAAAAAAATGTTTTTGAACTTGACTTTTAAAATACCAAAGCCAAAGTCTAAAACCTATGTAAGGCTGGGGATGTAGCTCAGCAGCACAGCGTCTATCTGGCAAGACTCTGGCCCTGAATATGATTGCTGGCACAAAAATGCAACAACAAAAACAAAAAAAAAAATCCCACTAGAAAGTCCATATTCATTAGGACAGATACAAACAGATTTAGGGTCTAAAGAACTATTTAGTTACACAAGCAAACCCAAGCAATATTTCTGTAACACAGTCAATTTAAATAGAAATTATTTAGCCAGATTTCCATTTCTCTTAAAGATCATTTTTCACCTGTGCAACTCCTGTTTTACTCAGCATAGAATACTTTCAATAAAAATCATACAATGCATGACTGCAGAACAGTAGCATTCCTCTTAATGCAGGAAACAAACATGGTGAGATCATGGAAAACCAGAATCGATCTTCACAAAAGGCAGGTTTTTAAATCTAGGAATACCTATGTAAAATTGATTCTATATCTGAAACAAATTTAATATTGTATAGGCTCAAAATACTGTAATGTAACATGATCAGTATTGGAGAGGTAGCGTGTCTGCAAAATATTGCCAAATATAGAAATGATGCATTAAAAATTCTCAATTATGTATACAATTCCTTTTTATTTTTTAAGTCCTAAGGGCAGCATGATAGTGGTCATGAAATTATACTAACAAGATAACAGTATGGTCAACTTTAAAGTGGTTCTTGGGTTTGCATATAACGACATTCCTGTGAGATGAGGAATCATTTCGACTCTCATTTCTAATCAACTCTAAGAAAAAAATCAGAATACTATCCTTCACATGTAACTCTGCAAAGGTCAAAGAAAAGCAGAATGTGAGCATAATAAGAAAGCTGGATTCTATGGTCAGTTTTTACCCAGCATACACAGTATTCAAGTAA